GCACTTCCACGAGTGGCTCGCCGGTGTCGCATTGCCCTTGTGCAAGAAGCGCCGCATTGATGTGACCACCATCTTCACCACTCACGCCACGCTGCTTGGTCGTTACCTCTGTGCTGGCTCGGTCGACTTTTACAACAACCTGCAGTGGTTCGATGTGGACGCCGAGGCTGGCAAGCGCGGTATATACCACAGGTACTGCATCGAGCGAGCTGCTGCCCACGCCTGCGATGTATTCACGACTGTCTCCCACATTACAGCGTACGAGAGCGAGCACCTGCTCAAGCGCAAGCCTGACGGCGTTCTGCCCAACGGCCTCAACGTCACCAAGTTCTCGGCTGTCCACGAATTCCAGAACTTGCATCAGCAGGCGAAGGAGAAGATTCACGAATTTGTGCGAGGCCATTTCTACGGCCACTATGATTTCGACCCGGAGAACACGCTGTACTTCTTCACGGCCGGTCGTTACGAGTTCAGGAACAAGGGTGTTGACATGTTTGTTGAGTCGCTGGCACGCCTCAACCACCGCCTCAAGAGCGCTGGCAGCAAGATGACGGTCGTGGCCTTCATCATCATGCCTGCCCAGACGACATCGCTGACTGTCGAGGCTCTCAAGGGCCAGGCCGTCATGAAGTCACTGCGGGACACTGTTGACATCATCGAGCGTGGCATTGGCAAACGCATCTTCGAGCGCTCTCTGAAGTGGCACGACGGCGACCCGCTCCCCGATGAGAAGGAGCTGATCACCGGTGCTGACCGCGTCCTCCTGCGGAGACGCCTCTTCGCGATGAAGAGGCACGGCCTGCCTCCCATCGTCACCCATAACATGCTGAACGATAGCGAAGATCCTATCCTGAACCAGATTCGTCGGGTCCAGCTTTTCAACCACCCTTCTGACCGAGTCAAGGTTGTCTTCCACCCAGAATTCCTCAACTCTGCCAACCCCGTCCTGCCCATGGACTACGACGAGTTTGTACGTGGCACGCACATGGGCATCTTCGCATCCTACTACGAGCCTTGGGGCTACACCCCGGCCGAGTGCACGGTCATGGGCGTTCCCAGCATTACCACGAACTTGTCTGGCTTTGGCTGCTACATGGAGGAGCTCATCGAGAACTCGAGCGATTACGGTATCTACATTGTTGACCGCCGGATGAAGGGTGTCGATGACTCGGTCAACTCGTTGACCTCGCACATGTTCGACTTTTGCCAGAAGAGCCGTCGCCAGCGTATCAATCAGCGTAACCGCACGGAGCGTCTCAGCGACCTGCTCGACTGGAAGAGGATGGGCATGGAGTACGTCAAGGCGCGCCAACTGGCGCTGCGCCGGGCCTATCCTGGATCGTTCCAGGGTGACGAGGAGGAGGACACGATTCTCGGTGTCGAGCAGAAGATCTCACGACCTTTCTCGGTGCCCGGGTCTCCTCGTGACCGTTCTGGCATGATGACGCCTGGTGACTTTGCCAGCCTGCAAGAGGGCCGCGAAGGCCTGAGCACTGAGGACTATGTCGCTTGGAAGCTGCCGTAAGTTTTGCTCTAACCCCCCTCCCGAATACCACACCAATGATGATGCTGACCAAAACTCTGCCAGTGAGGAGGAAGACCCTGAGGAGTACCCCTTCCCGCTGACGCTGCGCACGAAGCGTGTCGGCCCACCCAGCCCCCTCGACGGCGTGCCTCTGCAACCTACAAACGGCAACGGCGCTGGTAGCAGCAACTAGATGATCGCCATCGGTTGTCGTTACCACTCTGCATACAAGTCTGGAAAAAGAAGGGTGGCACTCAGCTGGAGCGCTACAGGCTGACGAACACGGAACGCCACGAGACATCCTCCACGCCGACACAATCGAGCATGCGGGGGCGCATGACAAAAAGGACGGTGATATCTGGCATCAAAAGATATCAGTGGATGCATCTGGCGACCGTGTTGTCGAAGTGTACGAGATTGCGGCGAACTTGCATAGTAGATGAGGCAGGGGACGCGAGACGGCGAGTGACATGATTGGGCACGAGGCAGAGTCACATCTCAGCGCCATCGCCATTGTATTTTGCTTTTGACACGAGGGGGGATTATAATAATTAAGCATCCATCTAACCTCACCCACATGACTTGTTTCCTGACGGCAGTTTGCGTGTCTCGACATCAATCGAGGGACTGCCCCGAGGCCACGAGACAGCAGATTGATGTGTGACGAGGCTCGACCATCTGTAGTTGCCTACCTGGTCAATTGCTGATGCCAGGCAGTCGGGAATGTTGGTATCCGTGCTCCCGCTAGCAAGAGGACTCAGGGGTCAGGGTGGTTTGTACATGGGGGGGTCGGAATGGGAATACCATGGAGATGGGGCCCCAAACCAGACTGCATTGTCCTTTACGCGCCTCGTCGGTCGGCGAGTCGTGCACGATGCGGGAGAGACGGCAACTCCCGGCGGCCCTTGGTCCAAGGGGATGGTCGAAGGTGGGTTTTGGTGGGATTCGAAGGGAGCCTGCTTGCTCTGAATGGCCAATGTGCGAGGCGAGGACGGCATATGCTGGACAGGACTTCACTTGCCATGCACATCTGTAAAGCAGCAGGTTCGTCTGCACCACGTCTCGGAAAGCAACTATATGAGGTAGTTGTCCTTATTTGGTTGAAAAAACAATGGTGTACAAGCCGGCGCACTCCCATAACTTCCAGAGTGTTTTGATCAACGAGTTACATCTTGCTCGCTCAGACCCGAAGCTGATGATGCCTGTGACGAAGTATATATGAAGACCACTACAAGCAGTCCGGGGGGATCATGGCGCTGTGTTCATACCGTTGTGCACGGAGTTGAGGGAAAGGAAAGACCCCACCCAGAAGCTGCACTCCAAGGCAAAGTAAACCTGGATACTGCCGACATCACGAGGTCATAGGCGTTGCTGGATATACACTGATTGCTCCTTCCCTGTACACGTTGTAGAGCGTCCATGGTGTTTCTCTGGTGAGACTAAGAAAAAGCGTTTGCAGCTTCCAAAGAAGCCTCACGCTCATTATACAGGTTGCAGCTGCATCTATTCTACTGAGGAACTTCCTCAAAGGCACCGGTTCCTAGAAAGTCGTCACTCTTCAGGAGGTGCAGGCGCAACAGTTCTCAGAAGGCCGAACCCAGCAGGATGCATGAAACGGGAAGGCAAGTTCAAGCCCGACCTCGAAGAAGTCAGGAGCGTCCTTCTCAGCTCCTTCTCACTGCACAACCGTGAGTATTTATATGTTTTGTCGGAATTCCGCTCTTCTCCTCTTCTCCTTCTCGTCTTCTTCTTCATGACTTTTGGATATCTCACAGCATGCCTACCTCACACGCGATGCCCAATCATGTTACCCCCATCTTATTTTCATCGCTACCATGGTGGCTCGTGCCGTCTCCCTTTCGATGATGTCTCGAACCATGAGCGCCTGGTCTACCCATCAACTTAAGCCGGCCGGGCTTTGAAGGTTCGGAGCCAACGGACCAGTTCGTGCATAGGGTTCTCATGGGGTGCCCGGTGGCGATCTTCGTCCTCTTTTTAGAGGCGGGGGTCTACACCTGGCCGCCATCCAGAATAGTTTGGTAGCCGTGACGGCCGCCATTCTTCACTTTTTGAAACGATTTTTTCCACCATTGTCCTCGGACGATGCTCTGGACGGAGTAACTGATATTCCACTTCTTCCAAATCATCCATCACACCTTTCAGTTCCCGGGCTGAGGTGCAGCGAGCTTTGCTCGTCTGCCTCCTTGACGACGAAATCCGCACCATCACCAGGTGGGTACCCCTAGGACTGCTGCTGTTCATTCTCGGCGTGCAGTCAACTTTGACGAGACATTTCGCATCATGAGGCTATGTCATGTTGCGGGGGGCTTGCAATCCGCATCTGCGTATACTCCAACATGATGGCCGCGAAACGAAGGCGAATCCTGCGAGGGTGGACGGAGGCAGAGGCCCGCGGCGCACCGCTGAACCCAGAAAGTGCTTTTTATATATTTTATAGGCCACGATGATGCTGGGCGCGATGCTGGCGGCAGGGTCACGCTGATGCGATGTCGGCTTGCAAGAAGGACTTGTACCATCCCCACGCCACCTACCTAGATACTAGTTCAGAAGAAGCAACCACGTGGAATCAACGCGTGGATTCGCTTACACAACTTGTGCAATGGAGCATGCTGTGTTTGATGTTGACGAATGTGACATTGTACTTTCTACGTGGCGCGGAAGCTTGATGCGGCCAATGAGCATGGAATCAGCACTAGTGCAACGATAGGGCGGCCACCAGTACTGTACGCGCTTCTAGAGGTCGAAGGATCGCCAACACGCGACGCGAGCCACGGCCACGCTCGAGGCCAAACGCAGACAGACAACCCACCGCCAACCAATGTACTGATCCTACATGGACCCTCCTATCACGTCGAGGAAGGCCTCTTGCCTGCCTGCCTGCCTGACTGCCTGCCTGCCTGCCATTCGGACCCCTGAAGATCCTTCGACAAGTTCCCTTTCGCAGTTCTCCATTCCTGGCCCCAATCGCAGCGTCGCCCCTCCTTTTAAGGCTTCGTCTGCCATCCCTTTGAGAGGCGGCACACACCATCGGCAAGCAAAGGGGGAAAATAGGGGCCCCGCGTGCAAACAAAGTTGGGAGCTTGGTGGAATGCCAGAAGCTCTAGCACCGTCTCAGCACAAAGAGCTACTGAGACACCCTGCCTCAGACTACAGCTCGCAGCCGCCACTACGGTCAGACATCCGACGATCCTAGGCCCGAAGAACGCGCCCACCCGCCCAATCGGCCGTCTGCGTGCCTCTGGACCTCCTCCTTTTGGGCTGACAAGCCCCCCCCCTGGCCCCCCTAACCCTGGGTCACTGTGGACCACTGACTGACCACCTTACCCCAACCCCAGGGTGCTGAGCACCACCACGACTAGGCCCGATTGCCCGAATTTCGTCCTTCAACTATCCTTCCCCCTCTCTTCTTCTCCTCCTCCTGCTCCTCCGCAACATGAGGCTTCCCTTTCGCAAAATGGGCATCTTCAGCTTCCGGCGCAACAAGGACAAGAAGAAGGATGCCATCGGCGTTCCTTGGGGCCCGTCCTATCCCAACGGCGAGGACGGCCTCGATGCCAAGTCTCGGGCGCCCCTCTTTCCACCCACGCGCTTCTCCGCCCGTCTGATCGCTGAGCTCCCCTCCACCGTCCTCGAGCGCATCTTCGTCGCCGTGTGCCCTCAAGCCCAGGATGAGTCCTACGAGACGTGCGAGCAGAGCGCTCTCGAAGATGGGTGCATGCTCTGCGACCTCAGGGATCTCGCCCACTGTGTCCAGGTCTGCAAGCAGTGGCGTGCCGCTGCCAGGAAGGTTCTGTAAGTCCAACCGTGTCTTTCTGTCGCCGCACCATGCCGTGGTCCTTCTGGCTGACTTTGGAGGGGGGGGTTGCCCCTCCACATCAGATACCACAGCATTCGGATTGATCCCGTTCACTATTGCGCTCGTGAGGCCTACCTCGCCGAACTGCGCAAGCGCCGCACCAAGTTTGACCGCAACGGCGAACCCGAGGACACGCCGAGCGCCCGCCTGAAGCTTCTGTGCCGCACCCTCCGTGACGACCCGACCCGTCTCGGCGCCCGTGTTCGCTACTTCAAGACGCCCTACATGCTGCGCGAAGCGGCCCAGGCCGATCTCGCTCGCACAATTGCCGTCCTGCCCAATCTGCTCTATGTCGATCTTCCCGAAGGCCTCTTCTCCGACGACTCTGCCTACGCAACATTGCGCCTCGAGGTCGAGGCACGATGTCCCAAGCTGCTGAAAATGACATACCGCGGCGGGGCAGAGCGAAGTCTGGCCAAGCTGGCCCAGGGGACCATTTGGAGGCATCTCGAGGTCCTGGAACTGATCAAAATCAACATGGATCCCAACGTCTTGCGCCACGTTCTCGCCGCGCTGCCCAACCTGCACGCGCTCAAGGTGACCGACAGCAGGGCCTTCAGTGATGACGTCTTCGTCTACAACGAGATGTTGCCACCGTTCCCCGCGCTCGAGCAGCTCGTGCTCACCAAAACGCCCAATGTCACGGCTGCCGGCTTGGTTGACTATCTGAGCTATCCCGAGACACGCGCCGCTCTCACCGTGCTCGCCCTCAACAAGACGGGCGTCGAGATTCCCACCCTGCACGAGGTTGTCTCGCTTGCCACATCTCTCAAGTCCCTCATCGTGCAGTGCAGGGTGGATGGTCCCTTTCAGAGCGGCCTCCAGACACAGAGGCTGTCTTCGAGTCGTTGGAGACATTGCGCTACGAAATCAGCAGCGATCCGCAAGCAAGCCCATACTCCGGCATCACACAAACCTACTACACGTATCTCGCCTCCTCCATCCTCGCCAATGGCCTCACGAACCTGCGAGCCGTCTACGTGCTCGACGCTGAGTTTGCCGACCAGCTCTCCGGTCTACCGCCTCCGCCTCCGCGCGCCTCCTTCGCCCAACACGGCCGTCCCTCGTCCTCCGGCTCCGGCCTCTCCAAGTCGCCCCACGGCAACTTTCTCGCGCCAAACATGACAGGTGGCAACGGTGGCCTTCAGCCCCCGATGCGCCCCTTTGCCCCTTCGGGCGCTCCGGCCTCCAACCGTTTCAGCTCGAACAATCCTTTCGCCGGCACGGGCTCCCTGACGCACACGCTCGAGGTCTTTGCCAAGAAGGACGAGGCCATGAACTGGTCGTTCGTCAAAGTCTCGCCCACGGCACAGCTCGGCCCCGCGCCCTCGCGCTATAGCATGGTGCCGGGGGCGCTGCAGAACGAGAGGCCCATCAGCTCCTACGGACTCGGCGCCGACATGCTCGGCAACGGGTGGACACGGCTGGCGCGCGACCGCAGCGTCATGGGTCGGCAACGGCATCGGCGGCTTCACGGCCTTACCGCAGGATGCACCACCGCCCATGCCGAGCGGGCTGCAGGCTGGCGGGGACTCGTGGCCCGCGTCCCGTCAGCAGTGCTGGAGAGAAAAGGGGCGATCGGGACATGTGGCGGTGAGAGGCGGCGATGGGACATAAACTTTGGTCTTGGGGATTGTTTTTATTTTTTTTACCCCTTTCATTAGGACGGTGGGGAAAAGGTCGGCCGGGGGGGTTGTGTAGGTTTGGCTGGTTTTAATGCGAGTTTCACGCGCGTTCCTCCGCGTAGGAGGAGGGCCGCCAGATGGGCATTGGGATGTGTGCCTGGAGCAGGCAGCTATGAGCACCGCCGCGGAGTTGAGGCAAGCGGCTCATCGATTTCGCATTTCAGATTCTACATTGGGGAGATTGTTCCTTTTTTTTTTGTACGATAGTATACCCCGCGTTGGAGCAGCGTTATGACAGGTGATTCAACGAACTATGAGTCGTCCAGCTTGGATCGAGGATTAGATGGTGCAGCCTGTGATGAGCGGTCGTCTGCCTGTAGAGCGCGAGTGACTCGGCTGAAGCTCTCCCTCTATCGCATGCTGTTGTTTTTGCTGAGGGCGGGCTTTCGTGACAGTATTGGATGCGGTGTCACGTTGAGGGTCATATCAGCACTAGACCATGGGACAATGGATCTCCCATGGGTCGTTGAACCTCCTGCCGCATTAACGGCTTTTGTGACATCGCTCTCGCGGCTGTTTCCATAGCCGGGGCTGGGCATGCTGTCTTCTTCCTATGGTGCATGCGTCAACCATGCTTTTGATCTGGAACCAATGTTGATGTGCCTTTCTCAGAACCCTGGAGTAAGGCCTTAGGTCAATCAGCGTTTGCATTGTCTATCTCATCCGACTTCGTTTAAAAACATGCGTATTCTTCAACTCGCGGCTTTGAGCAGGAACACTTTTCTCCTCTCAGAGTGCGAAAGAACGGGATATACAGGAGGGCCGTGATATGGCCTCTGGCCATCGCGAGATTGGCGATTTGTGTTTGATGCGTCCTCGTCAACGATTGAAATTTTTCACACAACGCCAATGGCAGATTCGGCATAAGGACAAAGCATCTGAGGGACCTCGGCCTTGGGTTTGGAGTCCTGGGAAGCATTGTCGTGCATCTGCTGTTGTCTATAAGGCGAGCAGAAATACGGCCAACTAGAATTGTGTCGTGTCTGACAGGCCGCGGACCAAGACGGCAACCTGATGCTATCACTGTACATCATACATCATGAAAACTTGCCAGGACCTGACGTTGATATTGGACGGGCTGGTCATCCAGCTGTGGTCGTCAGTCGAGGCTAGCAACATGAAAAGCTCGGCCAGAACGATTTGAAAGACATGCATCGCGACGATTCTAGCCGATCAACAACAAATGGTCATCCCTCGCCCCCAGAAGGAATCAAAGGACGAAGGCGAAGAGCCGAAGATCCTCTATGTTTAGAATCCCCAGAGGCGTTGGATGAAGCACGGTCTTGTCTTTCGGTAGTGCCCCCCCCCCCCAACCCCCTCGTGGCAAATCGATCAACACGTCAGGTACGACTCTAGTCGTGTTCCTGGCGTAGTCAAGTCGACGATCTCCAAGTCCTTCGAGGCCATCCCAAACTCCATCGTCTCCCATGTGCACTCACACCCTGCCTCTCATTCGCCAGACCAGCATGAAGGAAGCACTCCTCTTCTTCCTCCGCCAACAACCCGCCATACACCCTTCCAATGACTCCATGAGGGGACAAAGAAAACGAAAAAAAGGTCTCGTCCCCATCACATGCATCATCATCCATCAAGGCATTACAAGGCATTACAAGGCCGCGTTCGCCAAGGGTCCCAAGATTTCTGCTGGCTTCTTCTTGCGTGCATGTGGCGCTCGCGCGCGAAGGCATATGGCGGTACATGGTCTTTGGCGAGCATACTGTGTGACTTCATGCCTCCAGAGGAAGGATGGGTGGGTGCGTGACGCACGAAAAGCCGGTTCCTTTGCGGAGCGGCATCCCGGTCGGGACCCTGCAGGTTACGACCACGCGGTTCGTCCGGCCCACGCCGTTGACGGGGCCCTTAGTCGCCCTTCCCTTGATTGACAGAGCACGGCGGCCGCGGAATCGTGTTGTCATTGGCTTTCCAGGAAGGAAATGGACAGAGATTCGCCTCACTGAACTAGTATTGCCATTTCGCTGTATACAGTATGCCCTTTGTCGACTGTAGGCACAGACCCAACGACGAGAGGAAGTCGTGCCCATTGTCCCAAGAGTATGGATTTCGCAAAGGGGCAGTCCAGTGGCAGGCTGACCACCCGCACGACGTCACGATGCAGGCGACGCAACCCCAAGCACGGCTTGCACGGCCGGCATATCCCTCACCCTCCTCCGGCCCCCCCCGCTTATCGACGACAGAACCCACCATCATGGCCAGCATCGCGTATGCGCACCTTTCAGCAAGAACTGGGCAAGGGTGGGGGGAGAAGCCTGGAACATGCAGCATTTGGCAGATGGGCGCCTCACCGGTGGCTTGACGGCTTGACGTCTTGACGTCTTGATGGCGTGACTGCAGCGCGTCCCTGCTGGACATGCTCCGCTGAATAAAACCTTTGCAATTGGGACAGGGTTTCTCTCTCCCCCAATGCAAGCCAGTACAGGTTTTCGAGGCAAGGAAGCACCGGAGTGAACGCTGCCAGTTTGTGGGCAGCAAGCAACCATGTTTGTGGGGGTGGGTTTTCCTTCGTCAGCCACGTCAGGGTCCTGTGATGTCATAGCCAGACACGCCCTCCATCGGCGTCTTCACGCCCGGGTCCGGGTGGGGCCTGTTTGGCGGGCGGGGCCGAGCCTCTCAACGTTCCCTTGGTGCTTTGGGTACGGAGCTCCGGTCCCAAAGAACACGGCATACACACCTGCGGTAGGCAACCACCGGGAGGATGGTGTGCAAGGCATTGCGATTGGGCCTCCACAGCACCCGTGACAAAACTCCCCCCGAGTCAGAGGTGGTGTGTTTGCCGGGCGATCCTCTCAAGGTGTCGGGCTCGGCCAATCCCGCCGTCATGCACCGCAGTTCAATGTCAAACAGCTGCCCGAGCGTCTTCATATGCCAGAGGTGAGCGGGGTAGAGTTTCGGATAGCCCGACCTGCACTTTCATCATACACAGCTCGGGTTGGCGGGGGGGGGTTGGTTCCGACTCATGCTAGGGCAGGTTGGTCTCTTCGTCTGATATGCACGCTATCGATACCTTCCGGTGACGGTCAGCATTGTGCCATGCTCAGCAGCTTGTCGAGATTCATGATTCGAGGAGCACCCGAATGGCTGACCTGGACCAGATTCGTCCGATCTCACTCTGCATGACAGAGGCCGCCGTGTATGCCCATGAGAGGCGTTATTGCTCCTACATCGTAGATACCACCCAAGAAATGGAGCAGGCCAACGCGAGGGCAGCGGTCTAACGAGAGACCCTGGGCTATACATCTGGCCCCCATGAATGTACCGATCGTACTGTGTTCCCACTGTCGGGGGCAAGCGAGATGCGGCATAAGCACTCAGACTGTAGCAAGTATACCCACCAGAAATAGACGAACGAGTCGTGAAACTTGTCCTTTTCCCGGGCAATCAAGACTGGGGGCGCCTTCCTCCCGCCCCCCGAGCGAAACCTCCATGTCGTGCTCGATGCTGGCAGGCGCAGCCTGTAGGTGTAACGGAGTCATCCTCGAGCCTCTGCCGAGCACAGACAGTAGAGGTTGCACTCGAGCGAAATCGCTGTGAGCCCTATACGACACTGCCTTTGGGGGCCCAATCGCGATGTAGATGCAAATACCAACAGGATCGCTCCCCGCGGCACCACCATCCAGCAGACAGGCACATCGGGCGGATTCGATCCAGCCAGCGTCTCAAGACGGAGAAGCACCACGAGGGCATTCGCAGCGTATCCAGCCCTAGAAGATGTAGTGCGACTTGACAGCCAAGGGGGACCCCAAGTTCAGTGTAAGCACAAGCTAGCTCGAAGGCTACCCCCCAAAAAGAGACCACCAGGAACAAAACCGCTGCAACTGGCAGGACGCTCACTAAGCAATGGCAATTGCGCTACGAGTCCTAGTAGGAAGTCAAAGGATCCAATCCTCTCATCCTCAGAGGATCAGCCAATGTGGGATGTCCGAGGCGCGGCTCCGCCCTGTCAGCTGCGTGCGGCTGTGCGGGCGGCGGACGTCGGGGGCTACTCGCACAAATAGTCAGCACGCTGCGCCCGACTCCGGGAACATGACGACCTACTTACCCAGCGCGACGGTATCATGGGGGCGGGCTTCTGCTTATTCTCGGGCTACAATGTGGCACATTTGCGACAACTTCGATTTGGGGTCTATGAGAAGTAGGAGGTGTGGTTGGGGGAGGGGGGGGGCTGAAAGCTCCTGAAAATGTCAATGAGTAGTCATACCTCAGAAAGGTTGCCACACACATACACATAGGTACGCCGAGTATCACCTATGCGCCCGACAGGGCGCTCAATTCGCGGCCGCCCACCTCCCACCGTCGCGCCTGCAACGCACAGAACGACAGAAAGGGGCCTCCAACGTCCAATGTCCAACAAACACAAAGTGCACTGCATCGGCCGATAGCAGGCGGCAGCTAAGATGATGGGGTGAACGGGTGAGCGATGCGCCGGCGGAGAATGAGAAGGAGTCCGGTGATACCCTCCCCCTCCCCCTCCTTCGCCCTTCTGATGCGAATGATGATGCCCTCTCCATTCTCTGCGGGGGCCACACCGCACAAGTGAGATCAGACGATCGCGCAACAGTTGTGTTTCCGACCAGAACCCTGCGCAACCGCGGCGGCGAGGAGCCCGGTGTCGATCAAGCGGATAGGCATGCACATCAGTGACGGCAGAGGAGATCTCGCGACATTCTGAAACGGTGATACTCGTGAGCGTGGTGACGATGGCAGGGATAACTAGATGGTACATCAATGGATCACAGGGGCGGGAGCCTGAAGCTCGTGCTTGCCACTCTGGGGACCTGCGACAACTATGGGCGCATGGAGAGTGGCGGCAGGGTCGTTTGGCGGATGATGACTTCTCTGGAATGCGATGAATTCTTCAACACCCTGACGTGACGATGTGTGGACACACACACACACACACACACCCACCCACAAACACACAAACACACAGAGTCTCATTCTCGCTCTGGCGGTACAGTGTAGACGTTTCGGCGACCTTGTACCGCTGCCGACCCACGAGCCGGAGCCAGGCAGGGTGGGCAGAGCGGTCAGCGGCGGCCACAGCGAAGTGCTCGTCATCGGATAGGCGGACGCACCGCAGTCAAGGTCAAGTCTGAACAAAGCGCTCGAGTATTGACTCGCCGAAGTTCTTCGTGCCTTTGTTCTCGTGAAAGAGGGTATAGAACCCATTTTTAGAAATCCCAACGGCCAAACCCGAACGACACCTAAGCCGGGTCAGGACTAGGGGGATCGCAGTAGTGGCCCGCCGCGCTCGTGTCGGCCCCGGCGTGTGGCTGGTGGCTGAACGGCTGGAAAGCTGGAGAGCTGTACAGTACAGCTGGAGGACTGGACAGCCGGACAGTGGGCGCGACGCCTGGAAGAGGCTGGAGAAGGTGTGCGAAGAGTGGCTGGCGCGACCAGAAGTGGGTGAGGTGAGCTCGACGATGGATGGCCTGTGCTCGTCGAGGTCCAGCAGCTGCAGCCAGCTCCTGTCATGACGTTAGCGAGCCCCCTCCACCCACTGCTGCACCGTGGTGGGCACAGAGAGACAGATGAGGCGGGCAAGCGCAAGTCGACAGAATGGCACGGGGCCCACTGCCAACCTGTCCGAGCAAAAAGACTTAAACCATGATCTGGCGATGCAACGCCATGCATGCGTAGCAACTTTTCCTATGGAGCATTCCTGAACCTCGTGCTTCTGCCACCGTCGGGCGCCAGTGCCCCAAAGTGGCGCCCCCGCAGTGCAAGGAAAGTATCGTAGGTCTGACTACAAAGGAAAGAAAAGTTGAGAAATCGTCGATAGGAATTTTTCATCGCTCCCTCGCTCTGCTCTGATGAGAGGGGCCTGCAGATGCAGGTGAGGCTATCCTCGACCCTGAGCCTGCATGCTGCAAAGAGTCGGGCCTGGTCGGACCCGATGCACTGTGCCAGGGTCAGCAAGCGGCGGCCGATAGGGGGCGGACTTGAACCCCAGCACGGTGCGCGCGCGACCAGGTTCGCCCATGGTGCTCTGCGGGTGTTTCGACAAGAACAGCCAGCGCTTCCATTGCTGAGCATCGGTAAGAGGGGCACAGAAGGCCCATCTACCCAGAGCGCGCCCCCCAGTACCCTATTCTTCATGCCCGCCGTCATGCCGTGGCCAACGCGCCTTTTTCGTCCCGTCTCGCCGAAACCAAACATTCATGCCCTGCACATCGGCCCTGATCTCAAGAGTGTTTTGTCAAGCTTACCCAGGGCACCCGCCAGGGCCCGTGGCCTCGCCCACATCGTACAGCGTCCGTCAGAGAACATCAGACGAACGTCAAGGTGTGGTCGGTCAGGGCCAAGAAGTGTCTGCTGGGGGGCCCCCGAGGCGACGCTGTTTCATGTCAGTGAGGATGACCTGCACACCCCGGCGCTTGCTGTTGACGGGCCTGAAGGCGAAATTCGAGGGTAAAGGTGGGGGTGCTCTTTGCACCGGGATGCCAGGAGGGATCGATCAGGTCCATGGGGGGAAGGGCCCGGCTGTGAGCCTATTCTGACAGGTCTTCGTTTTTTTTTTTTTTCCCTATCTTCCCTGTGTCGAACGACAAAGTGACGGGAAAAGGGGAGCCAAAGAGCTTCGAGAGCCAGCAACCTCGACCTCCTCGTTGCCGCAGGGTGGTGACCCAAGAGAAAAATATGGGCTCGACTGGCGGTCAGCGGGGAGATTCGCGGGCGAGAGAGCGCATCGGCATGCCTGGATTGAGCTGTGATTCGTGCAGCACCGAAACTCGGCCGACGAGATGGTGTGGTGGGCAGAGAGCGCCTCGAGGCGACGATGTCGTCGCTCCGTGGCCTCGGTGCACCAGTGAGAGCGCACAGGAGCTCCCCCTTCCTCTTCTCGCCTTTCCAAAGGAGTCGCGAGCGATGCACGGTGCAGGCAGGTACCACGCGGCACAGACACTCGAAATCAAGGGGACGCCAGCACCACGATGTGTCTCGTGCTTCAGAAGACTTTCTTTTCCGTGGGCCCTCGATTTCCGGATAGCGTTGTGCCCGTGCCATAGCTCGAGCCCATAGCCCATGTCCCACGACCCGCAAACACGACTTTCTCAGCAGACATGGGGGAGGCAGCGACTACTAGCTGCAGGACATTTTAGGAAAACATGACATGATGCGCATCTACTCGATACTCCAAGCACCACACAGTAGCAAGGGGCGTGTATGCCAATGTTGAAGGGGACTGTCAAGTCCCAGAAGGAGACCAGGGGAAGCTCCGCTGATCGCAATGCGGTGGGGTGTTCGTGACCAGAAGATCTCTTCGCCGGCAAGTGATGAGATGAGTGAGCTCTATCAGTTGAGGGTGAACGGGCGATGAAGGGATCCGTTGGCCGCCGAAATTAGGCGGATCTCACCTCACTCGCACACGCCCACCCACGTACAGTAGCCGGCGAGCATCGGCGGCGGCGGTCGGACGTAGACAGGCCCCGAGTTTGCGACTTAAATTGGGATCAAGTCTGATTATGGCGTGTGAAATCTCCCTGGAAATGATGATGCGGATCTCGCGGCGTTGGGTCTGTGGGCAAACTTTGGGAGGGGACTTGACTCGAGCCGGGTCACGATGTCGTGCTGGGAAACGAGACAAATTGGGCTGCTGCTAGATTGTGAAGGGCGAGTGCAGTGCAGTGCAGTGAAGCAGGTGCAGCAGCAGCAGCAACAGCGCCTGCTACTGCCGCAAGAGGCCAACCAGCAGCTCCGACGAGGGCAGCGAACCAATGGCTTCCCCTGCGCTAACTGTTTCTGGTCGTCTGATGAACGGGCTGTGGCTTGGGGATGATCATCATCCCCCCCCAGCCATCTTGTTGTATGTCGGTCATGATGATGGTCGTTTTCGCGGCTCTTCGAACAAGCAAGAAGTGAAGCGAGCATGTGGAAGGAATCTGCTGGTCATGAGGAGCGACTGATGGGTGTGCATGCGCCGGTGAGCACCGGGAGCATGGACGGTGTTCTCCCCTCTGCTCTCTGGGGGACACTTCCCTCAGATCTCGTTTAACAGCACCAATAGTGGCGGCCGTGAGCAGGCCGCCATGACCATCTGGGCTGGTGCTCATCCCCATCTCTCCATCTCGCCATGACTTATCTCTTTGTTCGCCGAACACGCTCATGCCGACTGCCCACCCCACAGCGCGTCCAATCTATTTGACGAACATTCAATCTTCGACGTGATCGAGGGAGCGCCGACGCGCCGCAACGGCAAAGGAGCCCCCCTTTATCCATTCCACTCTATTCAATCGAAGTACTAGGGGTGAGAATTGCATGTTTTTTTAGATGAAAACAGAGGAACACTATCGCTCTCTGCCCCACCCCTTCTCTTCTCCCACTATCGAGCTGCAGGCAAAAGAACAGGAGGGACAGGGCACGTCAGGGCAGGACACCTGACAGGATGGAAGGGGCGGCAGCACTTACTGTAAGGTAAGGTAGGTAAGGTAGGAACAGCACAGTAGCTCTGGGTGGCGGCGGCAGAGCAAGGCCAAGGCTGTGAGGGTTAGTTTCGTGGATAGCGCGAACCACAGAGAAGGACCAGCCCCCCCTGGCCTGTGCCGTACGAACGCCGACAGGCACACTGTGCGCGAGGTACCTCCTGGACCCCTCCATGATGGGCCCCCTCGTTTGTGCAGACGCTCTGCCGGGGTCCCCCCCTCCATCATGCATGCATCCATGCACTTGGCACCTCGTCCATCATCCTCTACCCCCAAAGGCAATGAACGGCCCTTGCCCACCGCTATGAACAGCCCTTGCCCACCACCATGACGGGCCACGCTTGCCCGGCCCAGATGCCAGAATGTCGCCAACCCGTACATAACCATGGGGGGCTGCACCTCCCATGCCTCCTACCCCAGTTCCCATGTTCATAACCAAGTCCCAGCCAGAATAAAATATTCATCTGTCCAACCGACCCCCTCTTCGACTACTACTATTCCTCCTCCTCCTCCACGCGCAATCCATTCCATCTTTCACGATACTATCCTCCTTTCCATTCCACGTCTCGGCTGGTACCACCTCTTCCAACATCCCACCAGTTGGCTGTCGATCAGCCCGTTTCCTTACCGTGACCTCATACTTCAAGTGAGACCTGCCGTCTCAGGATACACTCTAGCAACCTCTACCGCTTTTTTTCTGCTGTCTCCTGGCTGAGGGACACAATGTCTCTGGTCGACCACACCATCCCTTCTAGGGAGTCCACGCATTCCATAACCCACGCCGCAACCCGCGTCCAGGACGAGCTCCACACCCAGGACAAGCAGCCCTCAAATAACGAGTCGTCTGCCCCGTCCGACGTTTCCTCATCCTCTGTCACCCACGATAACGATATCAAGTACCAAGACAACATGCTCGACGAATACTACGACGCCGACGACATCATGGCCACCGAGTCTGTCAAGACCGAGGCGTGCCTCAAGTCCGGAGACGCACCCGCCCTCCCTCCGAGGAGCAATCTGCGATCATCTCGACTCCTGAATGCCTTCACCATGAAGCTTGCCGCCGAGGAACAGACCACGACGCTGTCTCGTGCCACCCCGCAAGACGTCTATCTCTCGTCCGAAGAGGACGCCTCCTCTTCTGCCGACGAGTTTGACGAGTTCTCCGACTACGACTTTGAATCCGAGAGCGAGGAGTCGACTGGCTCTCCTGTGAGGAGAAAGAGCCACGAGGACACGGCCAAGGTCGTGTCGGTTGTCTTTCATCCCTCGATCATCGACCTCCCTGCTCGCCGCTCTGCTCACGACTTCATCCAAGACAGGCCCCAGAGCAGCCTGGGCACGTCGGTCACGAGCCTTCGCTGCGCCGCTTTCCATCTCCTCCTCCTCCACCGGCGTCTCCTTCAACCCGACCCACCCGCCCAGGTCCAGCAGCATGTTCGTCGGCGCCATGGCGAAGCAGAAGCCTGCCTTCCTCAGCATTGACCCATACGCCGGCAAGACGTACGAGCAGACGCTGGACGAGGAGCGTGAGTGGGAGCAGCCAGTGACGCCTCGCACACCAACAGCCATCCTCAAAAGGGGACTCAGCATTGTGCGCAAGCGAAGCAAGCCCGCTCTCAAGGATCAATTCAACTCGGCCTCGACTGCATCTCTCCCCCTTGAGACCAAGGAGCAGGCATCACCCGCCGCCACCGGTCCCATCAGTTACAACGACATTATGAAGGCCGCCAAGAGGAATACTCGCGACTCGGCGCTCATGTCACCAGTCTCTCCTGCTGCTTCTTCCCCCGTCTCGTCAACAGGCAAGAACAGGATACTGAGCAGCTTCCACAGGAGGAAGAGCATCAAGGCATGATCGTCGCCTCGACAAGGGTCTTGACGGCGACACGCAGGGAAAAAAAACGGAAAACACAAACAAACATCACCACTACCACATACTTAATCGGATATTTGCATTTGGTTACGAATCTTTGGCGCGGCGTTCTCTGTTGGGGACAGGGCAGGGGGGTGGGAGACTGATTTACCGGCGTTTCACAGTCTGGTCCCGCGGTACAGGGCAGACAGGCAGGGTGATGGGCCCATCACTGGGGGCGACGGCGTATGCGGATACACATACTTACAATCCTTTTGTTCTTTTCCCATTGTCTTGGGACACCAGCGCCGTTTGATTCGGACGGGCGGTGAAATGCAGATGCAACCGGGGCGGTCAGACTGCCCCGGGAGACGGGTCTCCTGGTAACAAGCCAAGCCACGGCATTAGGTCGAGGGGGTCGAAAGAC